GGGTGGGGGAGGTCTGCACACCTCCAGCATCCTGTTTCTCCTTAAGCTGTTAAATGCATTGTTGTTTGTTTGTTTTTTTAATCTCAAGCTTTATGATAATCGCTGGCTGAGATAGATATCTTCTCATGTTGATAAACTACTATAATATATGCTAAGCATCCATCAACCAACTTAGTGGATGATTGGTGGGTGCTCTGGTGGGCTTTGCTCCTTTCTTGTAAAACGTCTACATATATTGTCTTCATTTCTCCTCCTCGTTTTCTTTGCATATTAGTCTCTAAGAACACCTCTAATCTTTGTCACTTATATTACCTGTGTGTATTGCAAGTGCCGTAAAAGTCTTATAAAACCATCACACACCATCCAGCGTGCACCACCCTCCGCCCGCCCCCACACAGCAGCTCACCATCATCACCAGATACACTTAATGTTTTGTTCTGTTTTGCTGTTGTTGTTTTTGTTGTTTTTGTTTTTACAAGTTTCAACATCTCTGGGGACATTCGTCTAATCCCTTATAATTATAGAGTGCAGATGAAAAGTCAAATGAAATCTGGATATTGATAGAATCAGTCAGTAGGCTCTACTCATTGATTAATCTTATTTTTTTAGTTTGCCCCATCGTTAGGAAAATGACAAGAGGGTGTTATCTTGTTCCAGCGTACCCGACTGTGACTATAACGTCCTGCCCTGTTGTCGTGGACAGTGCAAACAACTACAAGGGTGGCTACATCAGAGAGGGAGCGACGTTCACATGTCAGTGTAATCTTGCACACAGTGGCAACCCTACAGGGGAAATCGACTGGCTGAACAATACTGGACACATCGTCGCTACAGGAAATATGTTGCCCAATGGTATCGGTAAGTGTAGAAATATATACAAAAACACCATAGAGATAGTAACGCCTTAGTAAGGGCAGTTTCAAAGTTGATAATCTTTATAATTACTTTTTTGAAAACCACATCAGCATTTTTGCTTATTAGTTTTCATAAAGGGAACAAACCTATAATTTAGTCCGTCTGCGTGGAAATCCCATAATCTCTACCTTGTAACTTCCTAAGGTTTCCTGTTAGCCCTATTAAGCTGCGTGCACACTAGGAAAATTTCTACTCGTCGGGCGGCTGCGAGTATGCAAATGAGACAAAATATTCGCCGGCTATTCTCTCTTTATGGCCGGGTGACGTACTTATTATTTTAAGTACGGGAGGTCGAAACGTACTTTTCTCCTTCTGCTCTGTTCCTGGCCAGATGAGACTCCTGTGCTCTATACTACAACCCAATGACGACCAAAAAAAACAACAACTCTTAAATATAGAGCAACACAATGATACAAACTCTGGTACCTCATTTAAAGAATATGAGAGGGAAATTAGCTTCGCCAGATCCGTGCTCTTGCCTTGGCGTCGGTGGCCTAGCGGTTAGGCTATCGGACTCGCAACCATAAGGTCGTGGGTTCGAATCCCGTCAGGGGCTCGACGTTGTGTCCTTGGGAAAGGCACTTTACACGAATTTTCCTCTCTTCACCCAGATGGGAATGGGTACTCGGCTATAGACAGCGAAAGATCTTGTCAGTTTGTAAGTGTTTGAGCGCTTAATC